GTGCCCAAAATCCCAAGAGGAGAATGGAGGAGAAGGGATTGTGGCATGGCCATCCTCCCGGAGGGTGATTTCTCGCTTTCTGTCTCTCTGTCACTCTCTATCTTTCTGGCGAACGCATGAACCCTATAGCAAAAACCTCTAAAAATAATAATAATAATTTTAAAAAATCACACCAGGCACATGTGCATGTGTGCCCCAAATTCCAAGAGATGGAGAAGAAGAGATTGCAGCATAACCATCCCCCTGGGGAGGGGGGTAGTTACTCACTTTCCCCCTCTCTATCTCTCTCTGGTGAGTTCATGTACCTTAATGCACAAACCAAAAAAAAAAAAGTTAAACGGGGCAGGAGCCAGTGGTTAAGGCAGCTGTCTCTCACGTGGCCAACTGCACAGACCCAGTGGCTGGAAAAACATGCCGGGCATGTGTATATGCATGCTTAAAATCCCAAAAGGAAGAGAGATAAAGAAGGGATTTTGTGACATTCTCCATAGGGGTTGCTTTCTCATTTTCCTTCTTTCTCTCTCTCTCTGTCTGGCAAGTACACACACCTTCTGACAAAACTTTAAAAAACTAAAATAAAAGCAAGACAAAAACAAAAGCAGAGCCCTGTGCAGTGCATCTGAAGATCTGAGTCCATTACATCAGTGTCTGATTAATCTCTACTTGGCACTAGGTATTTTCCCTTCTCCGCCTACCATCTTTTGTCAATCTCTTTTTTCCAAGTCTCCTTTCTCTGTACTATAAAAGTTGGTAACAACCAGACCAAGTATAAAAATAGAAGGATTTCAATAAGAAAGGCCAAAGGTCAAACCCTGAGTATTCTATAGAATGGTAGAGGAATCTTACATTCTTCAAATAGATCCAGTGGGTTATGGAAACACATGACCCCACTGCTGCTGTACCTGAACACTGGCTCACCACCCTGAATCACTGAGGTTCTGCAGGAAACTTCCATTGGAGTTTTCATTTCAAAATTAATTGACTTTTTATCTTTATGGAATCAGTTTCAGGCTGGCCATAACTAGTGGTTAAAAGAGCTAGATTACACATGGCCCACCACATGGTTCAAGTCCCGACCTCAGCAGATTGAAAAGCACCCTGGGCACCCCAAATCCTGACAGGATTGAGAAACTGAGAAAAAGGGATTATGACGAGACCACTCCCAATTGGGGGATGCTTTCTCCTTCTCCTTCTCCTTCTCTGTCTGCCTTTCAGTTGCTCTCTGTCGAGTGCATGTGCCCTCTGACAAATTAAAAAATAAGGAATTACACTCCCTATGAAGATTACATAGAATATTATTACCTTTGAGAATTGCATTTTAGTATAGGAAAATCTGATGTACAACATGAAGACTACAGTTAATAATTGTGTAGTGTGGGGCCAGCAGGTGGCGTACTAGTTAAGGTGCTGGGATCCCATATGGTTAACCACAGTTCAAACCCCAAACCCAGTGGCTTGAAACTCAAGCCAGGTATATGTGTGTGCATGCCCAAAATCCTGAGAGGAAAATGGAGGAGAAGGGATTGCATGGAGGAGAAGGGATTGCAGTGTGGCCATACCCCCCAGGGACTGGTTTCTGACTTTCTCTTTCTCTTTCTCTTTGTGTCTCTCTGTAAGTACACACACTATATAGCAAAAATGTCTCTAAAAGAAAAATAAATAAAATAATAATAGTGTAGTATATTTTGAATTTTTGCTAGATGAGATTATAGCTGTTCTTTTTTTTTTAAATAAAGAAAGAATTAGTTTATCTAACCTTATTTATTTATTTATTTTAATTTGACCAGAGAGGGACAGAACAAGAGAAAGAGAGAGAGAAAGAGGGAAAGTGAGAAAGCAAGCTGCCAGGTCCGGGACTCAAACTACAGTCGGCCATGTAGAAGTCCAGCGCCCTTAGCTGCCACACCACTTGCCAGCCTATAGCTGTTCTTGGCACAGGAAGAAAAATGGGTAACTAAGATGATGGACTTGTTCCACTATAGTAACCATTTTACTATATATAAGTGTAACTCATGTAAGTGTAATCAGGTTAACTCTACGGGTTGATAAGTTTAAATATACTATACAAATGTAACTTATAACATCATGTTGTTTATCTTAAATATACACAATAACATTAAAAAAAAATTACAGAGATCCGCCTATAACACGGTGATTAAGGGCTATATGGGAGGAGCTGGATCCATGATTTAATCCCAGCCTGAGGCTTGAAGAAACCACACCCGTATGTGCAGGCATGCCCAGGATCTTGATAGGCTAGAAGAATGGAGGAAAGGAAATTGTGGCATGACCCACCCAGTGCTTTTTCTCTCTCTGTATCTTTCTAGCATGCACATGTGCCCTCTGACATTGAAAAAAAAGCAATCACATTTTGAGATGAGAAAGTCAAATATGAGTTCATTTCATACCTTTGGATGCCTTAATTGTATCAAGTTTTTGGTCTATATGTTTAAAAAATGCAGTCAGAGGCAGGAATATCAAAGAGGAATCTAATTGACTATTATGAGGGAACTTTGAAAAGTTCATGGTACTTTATTTATCATTTAAGTACAAGTTTATTTTGGTGCAAAAAAATATTTTGAAATCCATGCATAATATCTTCATAATATGCATTTTCATGAACTTTTTGAAGACTGCTCCCCCATACTTCTGTATTCAGATAATAGAAGTACTATCTCAGGGAAAAATTACAATGTCTTCAATACCAGGGTTTCAGTTCTGGATCTTTTTCCCATCTTAATAGTTAATTCCCCCTCCCCCATTGCTGCTGGGTAAATGAAAACATTTTCAAATCTTTACCTCTAACCTTCTCAACTAGAAGGACATTTGTGAATTTCTTCCTTTTCCCCTCAAAGTTGCAACATCTCAAATCAACATTGGTCCAATACTACCTTGCCAACACTTCACCAATAAACTAAAAATTCTCAAGAGGGAGGGGAAAAAATGACAAGTTTGTCAGATTGGGGCTACGTGACACTAGCTAAGAACACTTTTTTAAAAGAAAGTTCTCATGAAACCAAGTTTTGCCTCTTGCCATAAAAGCAGGGCGAACAAATTTAGTGAGTGACTTGTGTGGCCTTTGTTAGAGTCAGCTACAGGCAGTTGACAGCCTCATGTGGCTTTAAGAACATGGGAGCTAAGAGGGTACAAAACAAGTTCAGCCTAGAGGACAACAAAGTAATGATGTAGCCTCTAGGGAGGAGAGAGATGACTTTGGGAAAGACACAGAAACCTGGCCTAATTCTTCCATTTAAAAAGCTGCCTTCCCATTTCCTGAAGCAGGTAGTATTTGACAGTCATAGCACCTTGTAATTATGAAGCTTTTTTGTAGGCAAAGTCTCCTCGTCTCCTCCTCATAGTGTGCCTAAGTGTTGAGAAAGGGCAGAGATTTTCTTCCCTGTTTTACATATGAAAAAAAACTGAGGCCCAGAGAGACTGAATACCTTCTCTAAGGTTCCTTTCTTGCCACAAAAGATGGCTTCATCAGATAATTTATTCACTAAGGGCACACAGGACTGGCCTGCAGTTGAGGATAAATGACTCGTCGCTCCTGTCACCTGGACAACTTTCTTTCAACTTGAACAGGAATCGTGTTCACTTTTTTGCCTAGGCATCTTGGAGTTTATCAGTTTGGCTGTGGGGCTGATCAGCATCCGGGGAGTAGACTCTGGCCTGTACCTAGGAATGAACGAACGAGGAGAACTCTATGGGTCGGTAAGTTTAAGGTTTTCTTTTCATTGGAGACTATAACTACTAGTGTTTGGACAATATATGGTAAAAATATAAAATCCTTTATCTAGCACTTAAAAACACTTTTGTCAAGAGTAAAGGATTAGTCTCTTCTAGTCACTTCTTGGTTGCCAGGGACCTTGCTACATGACAACTTCACTTAGCCCCATCAAAGCATAAGCTTTTCTTATTTTCACCTTTTCCATTAGAGAACAAGCTAGTGTGACAATAACAGGAAGCTGTGCTGACTTGTCAGTAGATGGTCAGGGTTTGAAGGATTAATTCTTCCAAGGAACATATATGAACTATAATGAGCATCCAGAGGAGTAGCAGACTAACAAGGCACACCAATAGGCAGTAGAAAAGCTGGCCTACAAATTGAAGATTCTGAGGTTAACAACACAGACCCTGATTTCCAGATTGTTTCAGCTGAATCCCAACGACCAAATGAAACAGACAAATGAAGGATGAGGGTTCCAGGGTCTGGTGACAGCCCTAAGCCTTCAGCTAGGACTAGGCTAGCTTCAGTGCATTTTCTCCGTTCTGGAAGCTGTCCCAGTGCTGGGGAATGGTGAGTGACTTTGCTGACCTTAACCCTTTCAGGGGATCCCAACTCCTGGCTCTGGCTTTTGAGTCACATAGCATACTTTCTGGCTGTCTGTACCCCATGAAATCAGAACACATTTTTCCCTGACACCTAAGAGATAGGCCTGTCCCCAGCACTCAGTATCGGCTACCCCAGCAAGTAGTATGGTGGCCGGATCAAGTGTGAGAAGGGACAGAGGCAAGAGACCCAGGAGCTGCCAGCTTGAAGTAGCCAGATTGGAGGAGCTTTTCAAGATATTTTCTGAGCTTTCCAACTGATAGGCCTGAAACCCTTTATTAGGAGAGATCACAGCTCACCTCCCATGAAGCTTTATATAGATCCCAGGCCTTTGCCTGTCAGTTGACATGGATGACTGTAATCTCAATGGATTTGAACAACATTAGCTCTAAGTAGAGAGAAACTTAGTAGTTCAGTAGGTGCCAGCAGGGCACTGGGAAGTCATAGCAGAAATTCTTGGGCTCCAAGAGCTAGGTGAGGCCATCTCCTTTAATTTCTTCCCTTCAGGAAAGATCTCATCAAATTGTTGTTCTTGTCATAGAACACATGCACTCATTGGAAAGAGTCAGAAGAGTCAGAGAGAGAGAAAGAAAGTGAGAAATCATCCCCCAATAAGGACGGCCACACCATAATCCCTTTTCCTCCACACACAAACCCAGTGTGTTTTTTAGGCCGCCAGGTGCAGGACTCAATCCACATGTTTGGCCATGTGGGATCCAGCCACCTTAACTACTATGCCATTAGCTGGCCCATCACCTAAAACATTTTTTTGTGGCTCATGAAAGAGATATAAACAGGACCATTTTGTGTTTTTGTTTTTGGTTTTTTTTTAAAGATACCACAGTGATATGAGGAGATAGGACTGAAATTGTCTAATATCAATGTGCTATTACTATTTCAGGGTTTCTCTTCCAGCAAGCTAGGATGGGACTAATAGTCATATAATGGGTTCTGCTTTATTTTCTTACCCTCACAGAAGAAACTCACACATGAATGTGTTTTCCGGGAACAATTTGAAGAAAACTGGTACAACACCTATGCATCCACCTTGTACAAACACTCGGATTCGGAGAGACAGTATTATGTGGCCCTGAATAAAGATGGCTCACCCCGGGAGGGATGCAGGACTAAACGACATCAGAAATTCACTCATTTTTTACCCAGGCCAGTAGATCCTTCTAAGTTGCCCTCCCTGTCCAGAGACCTCTTCCGCTATAGGTAATGGACTCCTGGTATGACCTCTGTGACCCATGTACTCTGGGGCCACAGTTCTCTCTGTAACCACAATACTCACAGCTTTTCAATTCTTCCTTCCTATCAATTTAGATAACAGAGAAGCACTTACTGTTCAACTCAACTCAGCTGTTCCCTTGAAGTTCAAAGTGTATATCAAAGTTGGGTTCTTTTGGGGAGGGTTGGGGGGGGCTCAAGGGAATTATGTATATACTTTGTTCTTTTTTCAATTTCTTTCCTCTGAGGTGGCACAACAAAGAATGGGGGTCCCTGCCAAGGGCCAGGGGTGTCTTGCCCCCACAATCTACCCAAATACCTTGACTATGGGTATAAATGAACAACCAAGAAATCTGTCATCGATGCTACCAACAGAGCTCTGGAAAAGTCTCACTAAGGAAATCATTAGGGCAATAGCCCTGCTGCAAACTATCTTACATTGGCTCTGTAGATTTCTCATCTGTCCTGACATGCAGTTTTCCTGCCATTGGAAGTGGGAGATGGGGTAGGTTATAAGAAAATGATATTAAAATGTAAGCATGGATACTGTGCATAAGGACAAACTATTTATGAAATGTATATGCTATTTATTTTATATATTTATTTATTTCAAAATAATTTTATTTTTAATGAGAGATGCTATGACTGGATTTTCATCAGAAAGAATAAGGTCCTACTGAAACAGGATAAAATGAGTTATTAAAGGCTTTTATTGGCAATAAAATTGTCTTTATATTGTAAACCACTGTCTAATTCTATTGATTTGTACATTTAGTTTGACCACAAAGCTGGCCAGCTTCTTTCTCTCTAACTCATTATAGTTTCCAGATGTCAGCATCACAATGCCTATGCTAGATCATGCAGAGTGTTGGCATTATCCAGGGACCCCATATGAGGTCTTTTCTAGTTCTAAGACTTTAAACTTAGTGGTGAACCAAAATGTCAGAGAGACCTGAACCTATAGCTTTTTCTGAAGTATTCATTTGTGCTTAGGACTAAACATAGAAAAACTCTTTGTGTCTTGGTTAGGACCCAATACCCTAAGGTCAGAAACCCTAATCAGTGCCTTCCTACTCCAGATATGAAGATGAAGGGTTTCAAAATGAACAACAGTCAATAGGGAGACTGAATTTTCGAACCAGTCAACTTCCCTCTGGAATGTTCTTCCTCTCCCCTTCCTCCTCATTATCCTGGCCAGCACTTCTGAGGAATTCTGAGAAGCTGTCAATTCATTCCCCTGAAGCAGTGGTGCTTAGAGCACATGGTCTCCTGACCAGTAGCATCATCTGGGAGCTTGTTAGAAATACAAATTATCTGAAATTCTCAGGATAGTGAGAACCAGCAATCTGCAGATTAACAAACCTTCCAGGGAATTCTTCTGAATGGTAAAGTTTGAAAACTACTGCTTTAAAGGAATGTTTTTCTTGAAAATCACTTTTTGGCCCAGGCATGGTGGCACACAAGTAGCACCACTGCTTAGAGGCTGGAAGCCACATGGGAGCCCCATATTCAGTTCTTGAGCCAACCTGAACATACCAGCCATGGTGGCATGCACCTTTAATCCTGGCTAGTTGAAAGGTTGGGGCAAGAGGATGTCTACACCACAAGGCTCTGTCAAAAATACTTATTTCTGTCTCTCTCCACCCCCATAAAAGGAAAAAAGAAAGTATTTTTGTATTCAAATAGTTTATCAATAAAGTTTTAGAGTAATTTAAAACCATAAAATAAAAGTAGAGTGGTTCTAGTTGAGGATAGGACAGCATTCCTTGGAGTTCCCTCTTCCTGACGTGATCCCCTAAAGTATCTCAGTTTTAAAATCCCTGACATCTTTACTGACATTTACTGAGGTAGAAGCATGGGGTTATTTTGCGTTTTCATAACAAATGTTGTTAGGAGACAAGAATCAAAGGACAAAAGTCCCATTGAATACACAGGCACTATGAAGGCCTAGTAGGAGAAGGTTCCAGTTTTGGGACCTTCTTCCTGTACCCCTCAATAATCATGTAGGCATTCACTATATTTCCAACTAATCATATGAATGAAATGAGTAGCTTAGGTACCACGTCACTTAAAAAGCAAACACAAAGCTGGCTCCATGGCCCAGCAATTAAGGGAGCCCTATCCCACATGGCCAACTGTGTGTGATTCAAAGCCCAGCTCTGGCAGCTTGAAAAACACACTGAGCATGTGTGCATACATGTCCAAAGTCCCAATAAGATGGAGAAATGGAGCAGAAGGGATTGCAGTGTGACCATGCTACATTGGATGGTGTTTTCTCCCCTTCTCCCTCCCTGTCTCTGTGTCTGTCTCTGGTGAATACACGTGACTTTTCAATAAAAAAAAGAGTGGGGTAAGTAAAACCAAAAGGTCTATAAAAGCTTATCCAAATCTAAGCACACAATAGAGAAGCCACACATAAGAATACATACATAAAATAGCAAGTTAGGGTTGCAAAAATTACATGACTTGTGTGATCATGGACTAGAATGCTAATCAGTGGAGCCTCTAGGCTAGAGATATCAATGGGTTAGGGTGATTAGGGTGAGTCTCCCAAAATGGGTAATGCCATCAGTGAAGAACCAACAGATTTGGAGAGCAAAGAGGTTGATAGTAATGTTCATGTTGGGATACATAGAAGAAACATCACCTTTTGAGGTTTCTGAAAGAAGTGTAAAAATATGCCACATGACAGTTTTTATCACATTTTTAGCAAGCATCATACCTTTATATTAAAGCCAAAATTTTACCTATGTTACTATGTTCAGATTCCTACAATTTTTTTTATATATAGCCACAACTTCTGAGGACTTATGAGGTATGTGAGACCTGCCTTAGTCAATAGTAAAGTCATTTTCATGTGAACAGCCCCATGTCACTGTAAGAAGGCACTTGACATAGACCTGAGAAGGACACAAACATCATACTGCAAGTCAGCATTTGTAAGAAAAACACCACCATAATGAAAAAGAGAAAGACCCCCAAATCCCAAGATCAGTCCTTATCCTTTTTCTCTGGGTGAAAGTTGAAGAGAAAAGACTAGAGGAATGGTGTGGATCCCATGGCACAGGAGGAACTCACTCTGGTGTTGAACTTTGAGGAATAACAATGAATGAGGCATGTGGTCAGAAAAGGAAAATGGACAACTGTTCTCATTTTCAAAAAGCAAGGAAAGAAAAATTCTTAAAATGCAAATATAAGAAAAAGCCAGAATCCATGTGCATCTGAGGTGGGCTTTCCCTGCCCCTTTAACTAGAAAAAGCTTCTGCTTCAAACCTCTCCTTCCAGCCCAACATTCAACTAAAAGCCAGATAGGGTGATCTCTGTCTTCTTTCTCTCTCTGTCTCTGTCTCTCCCTCTCCCTTTCTCTCAAAGTTTTTCTCTCTTACATATATGTGTTTGTTCGTTTTTTTAATCTGTAGGTACTGTCATTTGCCTCTGACGTCTTCTTTCTCTTGCTAATTACAGAATTCATGTGCATCTGAGGTGGGCTTTCCCTGCCCCTGATTTTTTGCCTTTTTTTTTAATATTTTTTTCCCTGTTCATTGTTTTGTTTGTATTTTTCCCTTAGTTTCCTTTGTTTTACCTAACTTTCTCACCTTTCTTCTCACCTTCCACACTTTGAGTGTCTAGGCAGGTCTATGTGCACAGTAGTGAAATATCTGAATACTTTAAACCCCTCAACTCAGCCCTGGTGCACCTATTCCCTTGAAACTGTGAGGCCTTTGTAATATCCAGTTCCATTGACAAAAGTGCAGGTTGCTTGGTGAGGATGAGGGAAATGGTACTGCAGAAAATTTTCAAGCCATCTCCTTCTGCATGCTTTAACACTCAGAATTAACTCCAAGAAGGTAGGAAATAATATATGATCCATCAGATGACCAGAAACCACCACCGCAGAGGCACGAGAAATATGGGAAATCAAGAAAATATCTCTTCCCCAAGGGCAATGGAACTCATGGAAATGTCAGATAAAGATTTTAGGATATTCATAGTGACAAATCTAACAGAGATGCAAGAGAAGACAGACAATGAACTCCAGAAGATGCAGGAGAAAAGAGACAATGAGTTCCAGGAGGTGAGGAAGTTCTTCCACTATCTGGAAGAGGAAATACACACCATAAAAAAGAATCAAACAGAACTATTAGAGATAAAGGCTATAATACAGGAAGTCAAGACCTCCCTTGAAAGTATCAAAAGCAGATTAGATCACGCACAAGATCAAGTCTCAGATGTACAAGACTTAACCTCTGACCTAGAAAAATTCACCAAAAAGACTGAGAAAATAACCCCCCAAATTAGGATGATATGCAAGTAATATTAGATACCATTAGATGCCCAAACATCCAGATAATTAATATCCCAGAAGGTGAAGAAACTAATCAGGGCATTGATAATCTATTCCATGAAATCCTGGAAGAAAACTTTCCAACCTAGAGAGACACTCAAATATCCAGACCCAAGAAATACAAAGGAATCCCACATAGAATCAATCCAAGAAGATCTTTCCCGAGGTGCATGATAGCCAGAATGACCAAAACCACAGACAGAGACAAGACACTAAAATTGGCAAGAGAGAAACCTCAAGTGACTTTCAAAGGATATCCTATAAGGCTAATGTCAGATCTCTCATCAGAAACAATGCAAGCAAGGAAAGAAAGGGAAAATATATTCAAAATGTTAAGTGAAAAATGATTTCAGTCAAAAATACTATATCCAGAAAGATTATTTTTCATGAGAACAGAAAGGATAATAAAAACATTCTCAGATAAATAAAATCTGAAAAAATTTACCAACACCAGACCAGCTCTGTGAGAAGTTCTGAAGGGAGTACTATACCAGGAAAACTACAGACAGACAAATAAGAGAACAAAAAAATGAGCAAGAGAAAGGCCAACTTAATGGTAGGGACAAGTTCTAAAATATCAATAATAATGTTGAATGTTAATGGAAAGATCAGACCACAGTAACACTGCAAATTCAACAAAGGAGATT